ATATATATATATAAACTCATTGGAGGGCCGAACTAAACTCACACGTGGGCCACATCCGGCCCATGGACTGCCAGTTGAATGGCCCCGTTCTACATGTTGAGCTAAAATCTTTGGTCCCCAGTTTTTTTATTCTGAATGCCAAATGATCAGACGAGACCCGGTTTTAACTCTGTTAGCAAAATATCTTGTGAATCACAGAACAGGTTTGCTCTAAATTTAATCATTGAATCTAAAACTGAATAACTTTTTGGAGTAAGGGCCACAGTTTCTCCACCTTAGCCAACACAAAACTATCACCCAGTAAATCAAATTTACAAAAATTGATCTAAAGTTTGCAGCACAGCCTCAGTGTACACATTATATTATTTGAAGGTTTGACCAAAGCAGCTTTAACGCTGTCCTTTCTCATGATAAGGTCGTCATGAGGCAGCATTTCTTCTAGGAATGCTGGCTTTGATTTTATTTTTGCAACAGTTAAATCTCAAGTGAAACAGTATATTATTGTTAAGACGGCTGGAAAGAACACACTGAACTCTGGTTTAGATTCTTCTGACACACTTCCATCCTCATCTGTCTCATCTCTCAGGGTGTCGGCATGGCTAACAAGGGTCCATCCTACGGCCTGAGCCGGCAGGTTCAGGATAAAATCGACAGCAAGTACGACCCTGATCTGGAGCAGATCCTGGTGGAGTGGATCACCCGTCAGTGTGGCTCTGGTGTGGGGAGGCCTGAGGCTGGAAAGCTGGGCTTCCAGGCCTGGCTGAAGGATGGATGTGTGAGTGTACCCACGCTGTCACACAGAATGAACACCATTTTTTTTTTGTTTCTTCCCTCGGTTCTAATACTTTGGTTTCGATCCGGTCTCACTAGATCCTGAGTGAACTTATCAACAGCTTGTTCGCTGGAGACAAACCCGTGAAGAAGATCCAGAGCTCGCCCATGGCCTTTAAACAAATGGAGCAGATCTCGCAGTTCCTCAACGCTGCGGAGAAGTATGGCGTCACCAAGACTGACATGTTCCAGACTGTGGACCTGTGGGAAGGTCAGAGTGCTTTCAGTGGCTGCTGCAAACAGGCAATATGATCAGTCACTAACTGTCTGTCCCGGTGCAGGTAAGGACCTGGCAGCGGTGCAGAGGACCCTCTCAGCCCTGGGCAGCTTGGCCGTCACAAAGGACGAAGGCACATACAACGGAGACCCCAACTGGTTCTTCAAGTGAGTCCATTAAATAACCTGAGCTAACAGGCGCCGTAAGAAGAAGGCTGTTTCACTGCGTTTATGTGACGATTGTCATGTTCCGCTGCAGGAAAGCACAAGAGAACAAGCGGGATTTCAGCGACGAGCAGATCAAGGCGGGAAAAAACGTGATCGGCTTGCAGATGGGGTCCAATAAGGGAGCCAGTCAGGAGGGAATGAGCTACGGAAGACCCCGACAGATTCTGTAAAACTCCTGAGCCACAAATACGCAAAACCTCTTTAGCCTCCTTTTTTTTTACCCCAAAACATCCGATTTGTTCTTTCAGAACCTCTACATGTCTGCCTGGTTTGTAACAACTCCCTGCTCCTCTTTGGAATAAAGGGATTTCCTTAAAAAAAACTAGCATCCTCTTTAATCCAGAGGCTCTTAAACACAAGCTTACACCGGTGAACTCACCATGCTTTGTCCTTCAGCTACAGAAACTGAGTGCCTTCCGACGCAGTGAAAACATTATTAATGCTGAAACACATTTGATTTCTTCTTTAATGGTTTAAAGTTTAACAAAAAAAACTGCAGTTTACTCAAAATGGACCAGATTCATCTTTGATTTGTGTTGGATTTATTACAGTTTTGTTGCAATGACTTATATAATTTTTATATAATTTTTTTTCCTACTTACAATTTAGCAAAATGCATTCTTTTCTAAAAAATAATTCTAAATTTAAAAAATAATTCATAGTGTGCCATTAATCTAGTTTTATTAATACTCTTGTGTTTCTTCCCACTTGGCTACGCCTGCTGTAACAGTGCCAATCATTTTTGTACAAAGGTCTTATTAAATATTGAGTTTTAAAAAATGACAGTTTTGATTCTGACTATTTCCACCTTAACTATGCACCTCATCTGAGACGATCTGAGTTCAAACAACTAATTCCATCAAGTTGTGAAGATTACATTGTTTACATTGATTTGATTTATTTAACAGGAAAAGATTATTAAAAATCAAGCCTGACTCAGCATAATTGCTGTTTTACAGCAGGTTCCTGTTCTGCAGCACATAAAACACTCAGAATTACAGCATCACAATCACATCATTATTATTACACCATAGACACAAAGACAAACAAGCATACCAAATTTCAGGAAGGCAGCATTTGCAAAATAGGACGTCTAAATATGAGCACAACAAAAAGTGTCCAGCAGATGGCAGACAAGATTCTTCTTAAAGGGCTGTAGTTTTGAAATGGACTTTATGTTTTGAGGAATGTCATTCCATGCTTTAGTATAAACATAGAAGAAAGACCTCTGGCCGTAACAGTTTTTAAAAGTTGGTAATATCAGTTGTCCTTTTGTAACAGATCTAGTTGAATGACCACTTCCAGAATTTGATTTGGGCAGCAATGCACAGAGAGTTCCATAATTGGCACCTTGGAAGATCTGAAAATATAAATTAATACCACTATGCAAAACATAATTCTGAAAAGTCAAGGCATCAGACAATGAAAGAACTGATGAGTCCAACCAGGAAGTTTTTTATGAATTTTGTAGGCCCTGTTGTAGAGCCTAACTATGGGTTCTAAGATTTCATTTGTTGTAAGAGACCAAACAGGTAAACAGTACGACATGGTTGAGAGTATAATGGCATGAAGATAGATATTTGAAACAGAAGATGTCAGATTGGATCTAATTTTTGAATAAACATATAATTTCTGTTTCAACTTAGTGGTTAAGACTTGTACATGATCACGATAAGTCAAATGAGAATCCAAAGTATTTCCAAGATATTTGTAGGTAGTGACAATATCAAGGGGTTTGTTTAAAAAAGTGAGTTGATTTGTTATATTGAAATGTCTCCTGGTTGAGGAAAAATACATGCACACAGTTTTTTTTAACATTAATTGATAAAAGATTATCTTGAAGCCAACCATGAAATGTCTGAAGATCTGCTTGTAACTGACTATTAATAGATTCAATATTGAAATCAGACAAAAAAGAACAGTATCATCAGCATACATTAAAATATTTGAGTACTTCAATATTTTTTGGAAGGTCATTTATGTATAATAGGAAAAGCAATGGGCCCAGTATGCTACCCTGCGGAACACCCACAGAACAGGGCTGAGACCCGGACACAGAGCTTCCATGTTTCACAACCTGACACCTATCAGTCAAATAAGAGGAAAACATTTGTATTGCAGATGATGAAAGTTGAAAAGAAATCAACTTTTGTAAGAGAGTATAATGATCAACTGTGTCAAACGCTTTATGAAAATCAATATATACAGCACCAGTTACTTGACCTTTGTTCAAAGCAGCACGTATTTGTTCAGTGAATAAAATTAATGCAGACATGGTTGACCTTGACGTGCAAAAACCATGTTGGCAATTGCTTAGCATATTATTAGCTTCTAGATGCTGAAGTAGTTGATTAAATAAAGTTTTTTCAAGTAACTTAGAAAAAATAGGAAGAACAGAAATTGACCGATAGTTTGAAACTTCTGTTGGATCACCAGATTTAAAAATGGGAGTAATCTGAGCAAACTTCCAGGCATCAGRGAAAATAGACTGCACAATGCATAAATTAAGCATGTGTGCACCATGGGCCTAAATATTAAAGTAAATTATTGATTTATTTTTTCCCAGAGTGGAATAAATAAACATATAACTTTGAGTGCAAGTTTGAATTTATTGTAGAATTTCTTTAATCAACACAGGGCCAAAAGTTACAAAAATGCCAGTCTTTTCTTTTAAAAGTTGTGCTGTCCTTTAACTTGACCAGCCAAGTTATAATAACTTCCTTTTAGTGATTATGATTGAGTGAAGCTGAATTTGTTTAACAACACGTCTTGGACTAAAGCAATGAGACAGTTCAGTGACAGTTTAATATGGATAACTGTGAGTCAAAAGTGACAAGACACTTTTTTTTTTCGTGTCCTGTCCAGCAATGTGAAACTCAGAATGAGGCCCAACAGTTTTAGTGGAGAATTATGGCTTTCATCATGATGCTCCACTTGATATATATTTAAACTTTATTACAGATTCTTTTTTTGGATTATATTGATATAACGGACATGGAGACTGAAAAGAAAATAGAAAAGAAAAGGAGAAAGGTGAAGGTGAACATGAAGTCTCCCTCCCGCCTGCAAAAAGAGAGAAAACAAAAGAGAAACACCACAGCAACAAACATCATGTACGTATGTAATAATAATTATAGCCTCACTGAAAAGTATACGGTATAATTTTATATATAAAAAATGGAATTAGTGGTAAATGTGGTCCTAAACACAGAGTGTGTCTGAGAAACTCCTGGATCTGAACACGTGTTCTGATCCAGCTGGTTGGCCTGTATATATATAAAGTTTCTCCGTGATTAATAGTGATTGTGGAGACCTACAGATTTTTTATTTATTTATTTTTGTTAAATCTGCATCCCATTTCTTGCTCTCATTTTTTTCTGAAATAAAAGGGTGTCCTGAGAATTATGACTCACCCTGTAGATTCACACCAGTTGTTTTGGAGCCATTTCTAAGTAATTTCAAATTATCATCAGTTCACACAGTATGCAAGTAAAGTTATTTAGATCTGCCAACAAGTTTTCTAGAAGACTCAAACTGTTCCCTTCAGATGAAAAAACACTGCTTAGGATAGTCAGGAACCACATGCTGTAAGACCCACATCCCGTTGTTGAGGCTGGTCTCCATGGACTTAGAGGGTGCTGACCAAGAAAGAAGCCTCGAGATCTGACTGAGATCTGCAGCTGCCATGGACACCCCCGGAGGACAGTTGTACCAGCAGTAAGATTGAACTGTTTTACAACAATAAACAGTTTGGAGGAGTCAAAGAGAGCACCAGCTGTCAGGCATGGTGGTGGTAGCACCATGCTGTGGTACTAATGCACTGTACAAAATAACAGTTACTGCAGGCCAACAGCTCAGGGGCCGAACATCCAGCAATTAAAGTCATTATGTAAATAAACTAAGTACAAAGATCTGTTACCTTTGAATTAGTTTATTTTGCTGCATTTAATCATTAAAACAACATACAGAACGCTATGTAATGTAAGTTTTTATTTTTGTATAGTTACATAAAAACTGACGTCTCTGAATTTAATACAACTTGTTTCATTGTGTTTCTGGTTTAAAGAAAAACAGGAAAGCGTTTCAACAAATGTTTATTTTTTATTGTAAGTCTGTGACTTGCACAGCAAAACACAGTTTCCAATCTAGAAATTTGTTCCTATATGTGATTGTAAAAAAAAATACAGTTTTAGTCTTACATTCTTTAAAAACAGTTCGTACAAATTGCTAAATGCAGTTGTATACAGTATATCTTGTACAACAGGCACACATTGCTTATATATTATACTTTATTAAAAAAAATACAAACTTCGTACTTGAAAAAAAAACACTTCAAGTCTTATTCAGTATATGCTTGATAACCCACAGATAAAAAAAAAGCAGATTTACAGATCAAATACCTCAGAAAATGAATTGTTTAAAACAGCCGTACCCCTGCGAAACCTCACATTTCAGGGACACGTTTCAGTGGAAGACCCCGCATGTTCCTCCAGTCACTCACACTAACACACACACACACACACACTAACACACACACACTTTCATTCCCTTTTATAGTGCACACTTATTTTAATTCCACAGGAGTTCCTAATTTGTAAAATCAAGTCTTCTCTGAGTGCAAATCTTACAAACCGTCAAGTTTGGGTAATTCACACGTTCGGTAACCAGATTTTATTACGACTGGTCCCGCTGCAGTTGATGATAATCATTTCTAATGTAAACCCAGATAAAGTTTTTAAAGTCATGTCAGACAAAATCCCCTCACGTTTCATTTCTGAGGAGCTTCATTAAAGGCGAGGTGTACATAAAACCCACACGGTCCCAGACCAAACATGTTCAAGGCCACTGGTTTTTACAAACTGCAGAAAAAAAGGGGGGGCGGGGGGCAAAAAAGTGTAAGGACACTGTTGAATTGATCTGGAAGTTGTTTGAGATCGGAGGCAGCCCGGGAGAGGAGTGAGAAAGCCTGAGATGTCCTGTGGGAAGGTTCTGACCCGTTATCTGGGTCATGTTGCTGACCGCTCCTCGGGGATGAGGGGCACTTTGGCTTTAAAGTCCAGCACCGCCCACAATTCCCCCTCCGAGTCCTGGTTCTCCAAACCCCTGTACGCCTCCGCCCCCTCCCCCACCAGCGCCTCCTCCAGCCCTCCCCCGTGGCGCCTCCTCCTGCCGCGGTGAGCTCGCCATCTCCTCGGCAGGCACAGGAGGTCCGTGTGAGCCAGCGTGACCTCCAGGGTGTAGTAGAGGGACCAGAAGAGGGCGAAGCATCCGAGCAGCAGCATTAACTGGGAGGAGGAAAGGAAAGAGGGAGGTCACGACAGGAGGAGGACTGGACTCCTAAAGTACTGGTGACTTTAGGAGAAAAACAGGACGCAAGAAACAACAAGCAACTGGCTGATGTGCCCCATCACTGAGGGATTTAAATACTGAATATTTGTAAAACATAAAAAAACTTATTTTTTACCAGTTGGTTTGATTCTTACAGAAACATGCCAAATTCAAGGTTATTTTGATTTATTGGATGATACATTGTTATACCCCTAAGTTTCATGGGTCAAATGTGGCCCACCGCTGCCTTTTTATTGTATTTTTTTACTCAAATTTATGTTATTAACAATTAAGAAACCGTTTAAAACAAAACAAACAAATAAATAGAGAACAAAATGAAAAAAAAAAACATAAAATACCAAGCCAAACCAAAGAGTCGCAGGTCTTAGGACTGGTGGAATTATGACTAGTTTGGAAAGTGTTGGGAATTTGCAACTATATTGGCTCTTGCACAC